GTGCCAGGAACATGGAAACCAGTGTCCAGGAATTTGAAAATTGATCCAAGCAGTAAGAAGATCGAGAAGTGTAGCTCATCTGGGCCAGTAACAACCAGAAAGTGTTTCAGATGCTACAGTTATGGCCACATCGCATCCTACTATACCACAAACTGAATTGTCTCTTTTACGGATCAAGGTGTTATTGAGGAAAGCAAGGACGAGAAATCAAAGGAAGCTAAAGAAGAAGCACTTCAGCTTGCTAAGGGCTAAGGCAAATTACTATTCATATGGTGAGTTTTACATTCGGAACCATAATGAGATCAGTCATGGCTAAGACACAAAATCTTCCGCATAAGTGTACAGTAAATACACAGTTTACAACCTGATAATTGACAGTGGCAGTTGTGAAAATGCAGTATTTACACTAATGGTAACAAAGTTGGAATTCTCGCACAGAGACATCCCTAATCCTATTCTCTCACTTGACTGAAAAAAGGGGATGAAATCCACGTGGATCAACAGTGCCTTGTTGATTTCTCGATAGGCAATCGGTTAAAGGAACAAGTATGGTGTGACAACGCTCCCATGGATGCATGTCACATCGTCCTAGGAGACTGTGGTGATACGACCTCAAAGCTCAACATGACGACCTCAAAAATACATATTCAAGAAAGATGACAAACGAATCTTGTTACTACCAAGTAAAGACACAAGAGGAATAAGCAACGTCGAGGAAGGAGTAATTTCGCGAGCCACATTCATGTAGTCAGTTCGAGATGCACCGATGACACTAGCCCTAATCCCACTCGAGGGGTTGTTAACCTCATTTTGGAGGTCTTCTTTTCCCCTTCTCTAAATACCCTAGGATCTAACCTTATCCTAGGATCTAACCTTAAGAGTTTCCTATTTTGACTCTCTTAGAGGACTAGACTGGGACCCACACCCATTAGAAATTCAAGTCATTTCTTCGCTCTTTGCAGTTTCATATGGATGGTTTTAGATTCTCAACATTCGATTGAGTCGATCGAAAAGCCAACATATTGAAGCTCAAATTGAGCTCCTATAGAAATTTGAAAGACATAGGTGGACACCGTAGCACGTGCGATGTTTGACTGGCCACTACGAGCGATATGTTTGACTTTGGTCGTCACTTATGTGAGGACTGATCAATAATATACTCGTTAAACGACTCCGATCGGGTCAAAATAATTTCATTTGTCGTGCCACGCGCGAATCGAAGTTAATTTGACGCGATCTACGACGAATTTGTCCGGATGATTCCGGATGACGAAACAAACTGCGCTATTGCGTCCCGGACGTCGATCTTAGCTAGGGAGGGCACCCATTTTTTTTTGGGACACCGCGCACGAGTGAATCACACATTTTTTTTATATAAAAAATTAATAAAATTCTCTTTTTAAAAATAAAAGTTTTTTTTAATATACCTAAATTTAATCCCTAAATTCTATTTTTTTTCCCTCGTGTGTGTTTCCCTTTTTTTTTTCTTGGGACCGAAACATGCCCTAACTCCCTTTGCTCCTCTCGACCGAGTAGGAAGGCCCCATTTCCGGTTTCTCTGGTCACCTTATTCCTCTCCGGTGGCGGCTTACCTTCTTCTCCGGTCGTAACTGTCGGTCACCTTCTTGTAACAGTTTTTCCCACGCGATGATTTGGTAACTCTCGTTTTTGAGTTTGTGTGTGTCCCTTACCGTGAGCAAGGGGAGGAGATGCTCACGGTAAGGGGATGCGATTTTTTTGGACCCTGTTGGGTTCTGTTTCGTTCAGTGGTGGCTCGGGTTTTGTCCTTGCTGAGCTCAGTTTTATTCAATAGTGTTTATGCTCTAGCCCCTTGTTGGATTCAAGTCCTCTTACTTCCTGAAAATTAAATGATATAAAAATAGAAGTATATCACTCTTTGAGAAATTAATAAGGCATATATGGGCTTTAAAATTCAAGCTTAGAAGTGGAAGGTGGATGTTATAGAAATGCTTAAATAGATGCTCCTTTCGTTTCTCTTGATACATAATATACAAAATTTGTTGAATGAGCATATGAAATATTGAGGTGGCCTATTAGTTTGACACGAGGGGTAACAGGCAATGATGCAAGAGAACCATTTGACAACTTAGTTTATAGCTGAGATATAAAATCAACATTCAATTAGTGCGATGCCTTTTCACCCCTAGATCATTAACAGCTCTGACCCTTTTTCAAAAGTTTTGAGAATCGGTACTCACAAAAGAACAGTACTACAGACACTGCCCAGATATTACACTCACAAAAGAACAGATACGACACTACACTGTAGACACCATATCCTGACTAATACATGCATGCATTAGGCATCACCTACACATACATTTCATACATCACATGATACATCTTGCATACCACATATCTTTGTTTGATAGATCTAAGTATTAGCATATCACCTTCTTTCTTTTTTTTACTGCATACACTATATCCACACATTACACCCCACATGACAGATATTACATATCATGTATAGGTACTACGGGTTTTAAACAGATATTACACTTGCACAAGAAATATAAACTACACTCATACACACTAAGCAATTCACACACTACACCCTGCACGACAGATCCTACACTCACATATAGGTACACTACACTTCAATGAGTTCAGATACTACATTTCACATATAGGTACACCACACTTTGAGGAGTTCAAATACTGCTCTATTCACATATTCACTAAATAATAGGGTTTAAGACTGTTTGATTATAGGGGTGATTCGTTGGTGGCCTCTAGTTGATATTGATAGGTTGACCTCGATATATCAGTTGCCTGTGGGATCGAGATGGAGAGAAAAGAGGTCTAGTCTGAGCCTATCTTCAAATTGAAATCTAATATCCCATCTTGAAACTTTCATATGCTCATCATTTAATCTTTCTTTTATAATCTGCAAATGTTTACCTGACCCATTTATATCATACAATTGCAATCTGTTTTGAAGCTTTAGCAGAATTTGATCAGGTACGCTTTTATTTATTTAATTTCTGTACTTTATTTTTTTGCATATTTCCTTCTATTTTTGTATCTTACTATACTTCGCTACATGCTTCATGCACTTTCCTATCACATCTTACAGCAAAGTCTTTTTGTCTGTCCTTTGTTGAACTTTATACATTTATCAGTATTCATGCTTTAGTTGCTACTTTTCTAGTATGTTTGTGTAATCCCCTAGGATAGGCCGTTCGAGGCATGGTTTTTTTTTATTATTATTCTCTCTTCTCTCTCTCTTCTTCTCAGAACGAGACGACGACGTGGTCGGTTGACGATTCATCTCCGGGCAACGATCCGAACAACTACCAAAGACGGAAGGATGAGCTTATGCAGAATCTCGATAGATTTAAATAACATACCAATAGAACGTTGAGGTCGTTCGTCTGCCGCGACGTAAATCCTCACATTATCTTTTAGGACTTTCTACGATTTTCATATCGTACGATATAAGTCCTAAACTTTTTAGGCTTTCTGAGGTTGTTGTCGGGTACGACATAAATCCTCACATTTTCTCGGGCTAGTTGCATATGACGTGCAGATAAAAGTCCCAAACATCTAAATAAATTGCAGGACTGAAACATCAAATAATTTCTCTTTCAAAGACTTAAAGCCAAACCGTAGATTAGTTTGAGATGTCATTGAATACTATTCAGTATCTTCGACATCTCCTACTTTTCGTTCCTTTGGATTCTGGAAATAACTGTTCCTATTTGAACTTATCCCATTTGACTTTTCCTATGAACAATCGTGGAAACTTGAACGTTGAATTCTTGAAGACAAAACCTCTAATCATTATCGAGAGTTTTCTTATGTAACTTCGGTTGTCTAAAATGTAATTAACTATAGGGGCTTGCTCCTATAGGGAATTTAAGGGCCCAGATTAATCTAAACCCTATCTAATCTGTGTATCATATAGGGGAACTTGTCGGCTATAAATTTCGCAGACCAAATAGAGTCATAAAATTTTAAGTTTAGATAGTTAAGCCTACCAGTAAATGATACGTTCATCCTTCGAGATGATATATCATTTATTTATGGTGTTGTGCTCAGCTGTTTAAACTATTAAATATATGAGGTTTATTCGGTCTCATTATTTTCTAAAAATAAAAGATACCATTTTCACAAAAATTAAAATTATATATCATCTTGAAGGAATATATATATATATTAAATTCCAAATTTTAATTTTAAAAAT